GCTCCTGAAAAAGCACATTTCACGAATAGTGCATCGAGGCCCATAGCCCTCAAACAAACGGACCAGTCCCGGGAAGTTGAGTCAGGCCCTCTCAACACTCTACATGCATTCGGACGGTTTCTGGACCGGATACATTCAAAATGTTGGACTCTTCCGAATGCACATGGTCCTGTTAGACTCGCCCGAATGCACCTGGTCCACAAACCCTCCAAAAATGGCAAATGCATGTAGAGCGTTGTGTTGTGTTGTGGAGCGAGCCCCTCAGAATCATGTCATTTCATTCATTTGTACTGGTTCAACAGGAAGATTCGAACACTTTTTTTTTTTTTTTGGGAAAAGAGATTCGAACACAGATGTGCTTACTACCAGTTCAGGGGTGCACCATTCAGCCACACGTGCTAAATGGGTGAGGGCGGCTGCAGAGTAGCATTAGCGACGAGACTTTCCAAAACGGGCGCCGAGTCAGAGACTCAGAGACAACCCCCCCCCCCCTCTCTCCGTCTTTTCAATACCAGCAAACTTCCACCGCGCCAACCCCCTAGCACGTTCCCGCTTACCAGGACGACACCTTCTATGTCGGCTCGGTTTGTCACGACAATTGAGAAAGGGACTAGTCCGGCGAATAACAAAATTTTCCAATTTGAGCATATCACCGATTTCACAGCAAAAAAGTGGAAGTGCTACATAGCTCCCCGGACCACATCGCCTCAACCACTCATAAAGCTTGTGATTCCTATCCCCTCGTTCGACAACCCCACATCGCCTCAACCACTCATAAAGCTTGTGATTCCTATCCCCTCGTTCGACAACCCCACTGTTGCATGCCCGGTACACATGCTCGCTCCAGCGAACATCCAGCGTCCTGCTAGTAGATCCGACATACACATGTTTCTGCCACGAAGAAATCAGAACATAAACCAGCGGCCCTTTGCATCGACACAAATCACCTCCATCCTCGATCATAGACAAAAGGTAGGATCGATACGTCTCTGCCCACGGTATCAGTCCACGCAACAACAGAATCAGAAAGACGGTTTGGAAAGTGGAATTCAATTCATTCTCCTTTAAAGACGAGACGAAAGAAGACCTTAGATCGCGACAGAGTCTAGCGAAACCCCACAGCGTCACGTTTCGAAAGTCCCATCAAGCAGCCGAATCCGGGGGGACTTCCTCAACGCTGACCACATCATCTTCCTCCAAGACAGCCTTACCTCGACCTGGATTGTCACCCTTCCCTTGAGAAGTCTCACCACTGCCGAAAGCCTTGTCCGCGTTCAGTTGTGCCAGTTCCTCAACGTGGATATCCACCATCTTGTATGTGATGCCCGCCTCCTTGCAAAGCGGCTCCAGTCCAGACTTCTTAAGGGCCCTTAACCGTTTTCTTTCCTCCTGCAGAAATACGAACTTATCGTTAAGCTTCTTCGTACTGCCATCGGGTCACGGAAAGCGACTGGCCGTCAACTTAACAACCCTCCTCCTAGAGCAGAACCCTGTCTTCGCTGCCTCCTCCATCTTCTCCATGAGGTTAGTCCCCAAATCCCTGGGCGTGCTGCAACCCGCCTTTTCGGTTGACAGTTCTCCCATCTTCTTCTGCAAACGTGCCAGCTTTGTTTCAGCCTCCATCCTCTTCACTTCCGCAGCGGCCCTTTTCTCCTTAAGAGCATCGACTTCCGTTTGATCACAACGCCGCCGCTCCTATATTTCAGATAACTCCGCCCTTAGTCGTCTGGTTTCCTCCGACGTGCCCAACCAGGACTTCGTCATGTCACGCCATTCGCTCCTAGGCGTAGACACATTAATGCTGCCACGTTTATTGCCCGGCCGCAGCGCCTCATTCCTCCACAGTTGCTCCTTTTCTTCCGTTTCCTCGTTGCGTTTTCGCAAAGTCTCCATCTCAGTTCTCAATTCCTCTATCTGCTTAGCCAGCTAACTTTTTCCTACAATCTCCTTGCATTCCTTCAAATCACGAATCTCCCATCAAAGGGCAACCAAATCTCCCTCCATTTTTTTGCCGCAGTTCCGCCTCTTGCTTCTTTAAAGCCACATTCCTCCTTTGCAATCTATCCATCAGGCTCGTTGTCGGCAGTTGTTCCTGGATGCCATACTTGGTACGCAAGTCTTCGTTCTCGCGCCTTAATCTACTAAGCTCATCATTCGCCGTACTAGTACTTGCTACGTCTGCGCTTTTCCCCTTACTCATGATTGCGTCGTACATTGGCGCCAATTTCTTCTCAAGCCTTTCTCCCATTTGAGCCTCAGACTCCTCACGTTCCTTTCTCCGTTGCTCCGCCTCCTCCTCCTTCTCTCTCTTCTTTCTTTCTTTCGCCTTAGCCTCCAACTCCTCCCTCTCCTTTTGCTGAGCTCTACTAACGAAGTTATTACAGTTGTCCAAAATCTGCCGATTCCGAGTCCACCAACCAGCCCGTGGTGTCGGAGCGTACGTCGAGCCTGAGCCGTAGCCTGCGTTGTCGCCGCCTGGGAGCCAGCAGCCGGAAGCGCCAGAATTGGTTCAGCATTCGCCCCGGTAGCCACCGCAGACCGATGTCCGCCCCTATACAGATTAGGACACTCCCGAGACCAGTGGCCGTGCTGGCCACAGTTGAAACAAGCTCCACGCGGAGGAGCCGCCATCATTGACCGGAGGACAAAAGACACAACAGCGATAGAAGAGATAGATAGCAGGGGGAAAAAAAAAAAGAGAAAGAAGAAAAGAAAGACGAAGCAAAAGACACTTAAAAAGGCCACTCTCTCTCTCTCTCTCTTGTAAATCTTACGCAGCCACACTACCATAATCTGATTGATATGGCGGTTACTACGCGAGTTGCTGGTTTATCGGAGACAAGTCCAATTACACAAGCAATCAAATAGTTAGGCAACCAAGAGAAGACCAATGACTCAAGACCAGATGGAGACGGAGAGGGGTAAGGAGAGATGAAGGGGAAGGAGAAGACAGAGGAGACAAGAACAAGGAAGCAGTCCCATAGTTTCCCGAAACGCGACCGATCGGCCGAAACATATTGCAAGGCAAAATCGCCGAGTACATCGAAAGATAATCATGAAGCCAGGCGCAGCGACCCTACGCTGCGTTTCATCCGGTCGCCAACCGGAATCATCAGGGGTCTGACGTCGCTTAGGAAAGGGACTGAGTGATTAGAGCTCCTAGAATAAGTACTATCAGTCAAAGAGTCAGGAAAGAGAATAGATCAGAGAACGTCGAGCCCAAGACCGTCCAGAGACAAGACCAAAGAAAGTCCGCGGCATCCAAACACAGTGCGGTCTGAAGGTGGACCAGTAAGAACCACTTGGCGAACAGCCAGCAGGGGCCCAACCCCCACTGGTCCAGATTTCCAGCGTACCCACCACACCCAGTGGTCAGATTCATCACCTCCCAAAAGGCCACTTGTCCATTCGTCCCAATTTCAAAAGACCCCACTTCTCGCCTACTGGCCAGACTTGGCTGTGCAAACAGGGCCTTACTTTACAAACGCCGAGTCTGGCGTTTGCAAACAGGGAAAAAAAAAT